TCTCGGGCTCGCGGGGCTCTCAGCGCTTTTGAGGAGTGCCCCCCCCATTTAACCTGCAAGTTCTGCCCTGGAAGCCCGAAACGTCACGCACGCCCTCGACTTTGCCAAAAAGAGGCTTTCGGACAGACCGGATCCATTCGACAAAGAGCTCAGGGTTTCAGGTTGAGGGTGCTTGTTGAAGACAGCTGTTAGGAATCTGAGCAGCCTGCAGGCACCCTAAACTATATTGGAGGTACGTAAAGGCTCAAGAATTCCTATTTAGGTACATGGACCCTTAGGGTAAGTAAACCCGAGACCCGGGCCGAGTGACCTTGAACCCCACACAGGCCGAGAGGCACAATCTGCTCTTTGGGCAGCTTCTTTGCCAGCCTCAGCTGAGAGGAAGGCAGCGCAGATGCCGCGAGCAATACGCGTTTTCTGTACAAAGCCCTGTGTAGGGACAGAACTTGGGGCCGAGCAAGTTGCATTGGGAACAAAACCCTACCTTGCGATGTTCCCCCTTCTACTAACAGTCTGTTAGAATTAGGGGGGGGAACATCCCAAAACCTACCCTACTCGCAAGCCGTGAACAGAAAAAACCACAAAACACGCTAGGCCATGAACTTGCAAAACCAACGTTGCTCGTGCATGTGCTCTGGGCACACTTGCAAGCAGGACATGTGATGGAGCATGACGTGTTGCTTCCTTCGGAACTAGAGGAACCCCACACTGGGCAGCACATGCCCCATACCACCCTAACACTCCTGACATTTTATGGGCCGAGTATGTCGATCTGACAGACTCCACCTCGACACTGTCGTCAAAGGAGGCCCTTTAGGGCTTATGGCTTGGACCCTTAAACTCCTAAACCCCTAATCCTCAAAAAACTACAAAGCCCTGTGCTTGCGCCCTCTTCCTTGCCTGTGTTTTCTCCTCTGGTGGACTGACTGGCGAGGGGGAGGGGGCATGGGTGTCAGGGTTTAGATTTTCGAGTTTCTTGCTTAAGGTGGCCTAATCCCCAAACCCTCAACCCTAAACCTACACCCTAAACCCTAAACCCTGCTTAACTCAGAAGTTCAAGGTTAGAGGGAGGTGAAGGACTTCAGGGTTTGTAGGCTTAGGAATTCAGGCTTATTAGGGGGTTGAGCTGTAATTATGGCGTTTAGGGGCTTTCAGGGCTGGCGTTCAGGGCGTTGTGTCAGAGCTTAGGAATTAAGACTGTTTCATAGGTTTGAGTTGAGTTTTCGCAAACGTGGGTGTTGCCTCCTAAACCAGAAAGACCCAAAATCCCCCAGACCCTCGCAAACGCTCACCCTCAACCCTCAATCCTCAGCCCTCTAATCCGCAAACCCTGAAACCCAAATCCCCTAAACCTCCCAAACCCCCTAGATCCCCCTGAATCCCTGATCCCCTCGTTCATGAACCGCTACACTTCCCCAAACCACTAACCCAAACACTAAACCCCAAACCCCCAATCCCTAAACACTGAAACCTAAACCCTGACACCAAACCCCAAGCCCCAAACCCTAAACACCTAAACACCTAAACACCTAAACACCTAAACACCTAAACACCTAAACACCTAAACACCTAAACACCTAAACGCCTAAACACCTAAACACCTAAACGCCTAAACACCTAAACACCTAAACACCTAAACCCTAAACCTAAACTCTAAACCCTAAACCCCAAACCCTAAACCCTGAACCCTAAACCCTAAACCCTAAACCCTAAACCCTGAACCCTGAACCCTAAACCCCTCTTGGGCCCCAAGGAGCTCCATGGTCTGATGGAGGGCGTGGCTGGGCTCCAGGGCCGGGACGATGCCCTCCTTCCTGTTTAGGGTTTAGGGTTTAGGGTTTAGGGTTTAGGGTTTAGGGTTTAGGGTTTAGGGTTTAGGGTTTAGGGTTTAGGGTTTGGGGTTTGGGGTTTGGGGTTTGGGGTTTGGGGTTTGGGGTTTGGGGTTTCTTGGTTTAGGATTTGGGGTTTGGGGTTTGGGGTTTGGGGGTGTAAGGTTTGGGGTTTAGGGTTTGGGAATCAGGGTTTGCAGAGTTTAGGGCTTCTGGGGATGGGAGCATTCTAGGATTCTACGATGTTGACGGAGGTCTAGGGTTAAGGGGAGAATGTTTAGGGCTCAGATGTTTTTTGAAGGAAGTTTGTTGAGGGTTCTGGCCCTGCAAAGGGTTTCAGGGCTAGGGATTTCAGGAACTGCTGAGGGCTTAGGGTTTAGGGTTTAGGGCTTCTAGAGCTTAGGGTGGTCGGTTTAGGGTTTATAGGGTTGACGGTGTATAGGGACGAGAAGAACCAGGGCTCAAGGTTTAGGGCCGAGGGTCTGAGGGCCTACTTGGAGGTTCATGGTACTTTTTAACCAATGATATCTGTACTTGTAACTGCACTTATAAACATATTTGGGCACTAAAGGCGCTTATAAGTGGGCTATAAGTAACAGTTTATAATTGGCTAATAAGCCACCAAGTAGGTACCGGTAAGGAAATTGTGTGTGCTCCAGGTGCTTACGATGATTATTTACAGTCTTATGTCTTATTTTGTTGGGGGGGGGGGGGGGTATCCATTGGGTTTCTGATTAGTACAAAGAGACAAAAAAACTGTAAACCATGCTCTCCTACCTACCCCTGGTAAGAGAGGGAATGAAATTCAGAGTCTAGGGTTTAGTGTCGGGCTGTGAGAATAGCCCCCCTGTTTCCGAGACTGAGGCCCCTGTATATACCCTTTAAGGGAGTCTATAGGTACAGTACCTCATTCCCTAATTCCCTACTAAGAACCAGCCAGCAGGTGTACGGCCGGGCCTAGAGACCAGGCGCATGGCATCGAGCGCCTGGTGGCAGCTGCACAGTCGAATGGTGAGGGGTAGGGTATAGAGTTTGCTTAGGGCTTCGTAGGGTTTAGGGTTTCTATAGGGGGTTATGGCTTATTTAGGGTTTAGGAAGACAACAAAGGCCTTTGATATGTTTGAGTGGCTGGCAGGTCTCTACTTGGGGCAAGGTGAGCTTATGAGCTTCACGGCTCGCGTAACTCAACGAACTCACAACACAAGTTGCCATACCGTGGCATGCCATAGCTTAGCACCTTGGTAGCTCAGTAACTACATCATGATAAGGGCACCCTGTAAGGGAACCTAGAAGCAAAAACAAAAAAAGGAAACGGGCACCACGGGGCTGCCAAGACACACATGGACAGATGGATGACACGCTGTTTCGTCATGCAAGGCTTCTCTACATTTCTAACTGGGCGAGGTCCGGCCGGAGACAGGCAGCTAGTACATCAAAAGGCATTAGTGCTCCGGGCGTGGGAGGCTTGCCAGGTACAGACATGAGAGCAAGCCACTGCAATACTGACGAACTCTACATATCATGTTCTTGTCCTGTCCATGTGGCCGTCTCATGGCCTTTCCTAAATGAATTCGGAACTCGGCTCCTTCCCCCATTAGCCCGTGTTTTTGAAGGGATGTGTGTTGCAGTCAAATTGGAGTTTTGCACTGTTACTGGGAGGAGGCAGCGCCCAGGTTTGGGGCTTTCGGAGTTGGGCGTTTAGGGTTTTCGGTTTGAGTAATCACAGCAATGATTGCTCTTTGTAATACTAGCAACAGTCATGCTCCTCACAACGCCAGGCCAGCAATAAAAGTAGTAGCATGCATAGCCACGATGGCGACATATGAGTCACTAAATGAAAACAATGAAACAACAACACTCAACGAAGAATAACAATAGGAACCCTTGCTGGAACAGCAATGGCTACTCTTCGAAGTGGAGACAGACAAGTAATACAAAGACTAAACCCGCCAAGAGTAACTATATGAACAGGTTGCCGTCTCTGGCTTAAACGGGCTTGCAAGGGAACCTAAACCCTAAACAAAAGGGAGTACGGATAGCTGTACGAAGAACAATCATGAAGGATCCCAGCTCCTTCCCTTAAAGATACTCGACAATGGCTATATATTCCCTGAGGGGATCCTTTAAAACAGATCCCCAAAACTAAGGGGGTAACCTGACAAACCCCTTGAACCAACCCGTTGAAGCAGTCGCCAATAGCTCCAGCCCTCCGTCTGCCTGCGTGTCGGTGGCGAAGACGTACTCCACCCGACCTCACAGCCACCAACAGGCAAAGCGGGTTAGTTTGGGTTTAATTGTTGTTCAGGGTTATCAGGGTTTAAGGTTGAGGGTAAAAAGCCTAAACGCTAGGGTGTCACGGTGCGCTTACCCCCCAAAATGGTCCAAAGCATCAACAGAGCTACGTAAAACCGTTATAAACCTACCTAACGAGTGGATACAACCGACACGCAGAAGTCCTGAACATGCCAAACCCAGTCAGAACCCCCCGCAAGGCCCCTGGGTGTACCTTAATGGGTGCATTTACGGCATGAAAAAGAGTACTTGGGGGCCTGGCAGGCCTAGGCCTGCAGCAGACTTTAAGTGGACACCCTCGCAAACACAAGGAAAAATCGAGTGTGCGTCGGAGCTCACGGCAATTGGCTTAAGGGGGGCATGTCTTAAGAGGGCCCACGCAGAATTATGCCAACCAATTCAGAAAGCAACCCAACACTACGCTCTAAAACTCCGTTCCGACGCACGCGAAGTAGGTGTTGCTTCCGAATTCCCTACTAAGACTTAGAGTGTGTGGACAGGACTCTTTTGGCTGCCTTCTGGCTGTAGCCTTTGGGGTGAAGCGTCTGTGGCTGCTTCTGCGCTCCATGGGCTCTGGGTTTAGGGTTTAGAGGGTTTAGGGTTTAGGGTTTACAAGGTTTAGGGTTTAGGGTTTAGGGTTTATAAGGGTTTAGGGTTTAGGTGCCATGATTGCTGAGAGTGTGATCACTCAGCAACTTGACCTGCTACAGCAAGCGCCAGAAATGGTCCAGAACCCAACAACTGGTTCCATCTTTTTGCCGGGCTGCAACAATCTAAAATACAAATTTATCGAACCCGCGCTGCAGTTGGAAACCCTGTTCATGTTGACAGCGGTGCATGGCATACTGGACATATTCAACTGCCAGCTGTTCTTGATACTCACCAATACTCACCAAGGCCGATTCTCAACAATCGCATCGCATGTACGCTGGTCCTTGCGTGCCACCATTCAGAGAACTTCGCAAGCGCGTCCCCGTGCTCCTGTTCCACAACTCATCAACAAATGCACCACTTCAAAATGCTCCTTCTCTTTTGCCGCACTGACCGGCGTGGCTCCGTCAAAGCGAATCAGCTCGTGGTCCGCACCAAACTGCAACAACAGACGAACGGCTTCCAAGTGGCCGCCATAAGCTGCTGCAAAAAGTGGGGTTGATCCCTTGCTTGTGGTTGCTTTGTCCTTGTTCGCACCAAACTCCAAAAGTAAACGTGCCACTTCTACATGGCCCTCATTGCTGCCGCGAGAAGCGGGGTCCCTCCGATGTCCGTGGTTGCTCGGTCTTTGTCAGCACCGGACTGCAACAACAAGCGAGTGACCTCTAGATGGCCTTCCAAAGCTGCAGCGTGTAGAGGAAATGCTCCACAATCAGTGGTCGCTCGATCTATGTCTGCAGCAGCGTCCAAAAGCAAGCTCACCACGTTGAGGTGGCCCTCGAAAGCCGCCGCAAGCAAAGGCGTGCTCCCGTTTTCCGTGGTTGCAGCATCCTTGTCAGCACCAAGTTCCAGCAGGAAACGCAACACATGCAGATGGCCTCGCTGAGCGGCGCAGTACAGAGGCGTGGCCCCGTTTTGGGCTGTTTTGTTGGCGTCAGCGTGAAACTGCCAAAGCAAACGGACGACATCCAGATGCCCCTCGTCAGCTGCGGCCAGAAAAGGCGTTGCTCCATCAGTGGTTGGCAGATTCTTGTCTGCACCGAACTCGAGCAAATGACGGACAGATTCCAGGTGGCCATTGGCGGCTGCCACTTGAAGAGGTGTGGCCCCCGTATTGCGAATTGGGCGATCTATGTGCGCCCTGGCGACCAACAGTACCTCGACGAGTGCCGCGTGCCCACCAGACGCTGCTGCGAAGAGTGGCGTTGCTTCACGCCGAAGACTAACCATATTCACACTTGCACCTGCTTCAAGCAAAGCCCGAGCTGAATGCTCATGTCCTCCTTCTGCTGCGGCATAGAGAGCCGGAACACCAGCTCTGTTCATTGCAGTGGCAGTCTGGGGCCGTTGCAGGATGGCCTCAACCTGCATGACATCACCAGCCGTTGCTGCCGTCACGAGCTCGTCGTCCATCGCAGCACGCTTCGGGGGGCTGAGGAGAACCAACCGCAACTCCGCAAACTCGGTGAATGACTCCGTGTCCTCGAGGATCTTGCCATTTGGGCACAGGACCCTTTGCTGGAACCTTGGTCGGTGGCAGTGGCTGCTTTGCAAGTGTCTTTTCAGTTCCCTGACTGGCTGGTCTGCATCAGCAAATGCTTCCGACTCTGCTGCGCAGCAGTTGCAAATCACCTCGCCCGAGGCAGCCATCCGAACCACAAGCATTGCCACAGAGCTATACGCCCCCCCCGAAGTTCCTAAACCCTAAACCCTAATCCCTAATCCCTAAACCCTGAACCCTATCTACCAGCGCACGGGTTCGAATCCGTGGCCCCAATGCTTGACCCCACAGTTAAGACCAGTTCAAGCTTCGCCGGAGTTCGGCTTTTCTTGAAACTCAACCGGAACCTCTGTTACATTATAGACCAACCAGACCACACTGTTAACAAATACGATTCCCGACTGGCCCATCCCTACAGGTACAAGATCATTCCAAAACCTTAGACCCTAAACCCTAAACCCAAAACCTTACACCCAAAACCCAAAACCCTACACCCTAAACCCGCAACCCTGAACCCGACTCCGATTCCCAATTCGAAGCCCTCCTTCGCCTGAGCCAACTCTGAGCAAGGAAGACAATCAGAAGATTCCCTTTGGGGGACCAAAACGAATCCTAAAACTGGGTTTAGGGTTTAGGGTTATAAACCCTTTTAGGGTCCATGTGGTTTCCAACGGTGTGCAGCATCTGGAACCCGATGGAAACTACATTGGACTCCTACCATGTTGCAACATGCAGCAGCATCTGTGGCGATCGACTTCAAGCGCACTGGATCGTGCAACCAGGAGCCAGCGACCACCCTTAACCCTAAGCCCGTATCAGCCCTAAACCCTAAGCCCTAAGCCCTAAGCCCTAAGCCCTAAGCCCTAAGCCCTAAGCCCTAAACCCTAAACCCTAAACCTAAAACTCCTCTTCAATGCCAAGGCCCCGGCCGCATGCCTTGAGGGAGGCATGCTGCCTTGGCCAGCAGTGGGGTGGAGGGGGGGCAGGGGGGGGGGCCGGGGTGAGCTTCAGACCCTGAACCCTAAACCCTAAACCCTAAAACCTGAACCCTAAACCCTAAACCCTCCACCCTATAACCCCAAACCCTAAACCCTCAACCCTCAACCCAAAACCCTAAACCCTAAACCCTAAACCCTAGACCCTAGACCCTAGACCCTAAGCAAGCCCTGCTATCTGCTAAAAATCTGCCGTGAACCAGCAGCGGAAACAGGACAGATCTGCGTCCTGAAACCACTTCGCCCCTAAATCCTTAGTCCTAAACCCTAAACCCTCAACCCTAAATCCCAAACATCTACAAGCCCCCCAACTCCTTGGGGTTCAGAGCTTAGCGTGGCCTCCCACCAGCAGCGCCTGTTTCTCTGCAGTTTCCTAACCCTAAACCCTAAACCCTAAACCCTAGACCCTAAACCCTAAACCCTTGTTTGTGTTAAATGGTATACGCGGAACTGTCAAAGAGAGTCCCCGAGAACGACACCTGGAGCCTGAGGGCTTGAAGGGTTTAGGGTTTAGGGTTTATAGGGTTTATAGGGTTTATAGGGTTTATAGGGTTTATAGGGTTTATAGGGTTTAGGGTTTAGGGTTCAGGGTTTAGGGTTTAGGGTTGAGGGTTCAGGGCCCCAGGCCCTGAAATGTCGGGTGTAGGGATTGCACTGAACCGAAGAAGATTGAGGGCTTACAGGACTCGGGGTGGCAGAAGCTCTGAACCCCAAGCCCGATCCTTGCGCCTTGCACCCAGTTTGTACTTTCCAGGATTCAGGGTTTAGGGTTTAGGAACCCTTAACTACTGATTGCCTGAGACCCCCCAGAAAGACTAAGAATATTCGTCCTTATAAGGGCACTATGGGAACGATTGTCTTGTATGTTCGGGGGGGGTCTTCAGCAAGTAGTAGTAAACCCTGAACCACCCTAAACCCTAAACCTAAACCCTAAACCCTAAACCCTAAACCCTAAACCCTAACCCTAAACCCTAAACCCTAAACCCTAAACCCTAAACCCTAAACCCTAAACCCTAAACCCTAAACCCTAAACCACCTCTCCCAAGCCTTATTCAATCGCCGGGCCGCGGCCCCACACCCGGGTAGTCCAGGCCAGCGCTAATGGAGTGGGTCTCCTTGATCTGACCTCTTCGCGGGCTTCTACTCGGGCTTAGGGCTGAGGGTTTAGGGCTTAGGGCTTAGGGCTTAGGGTTTGGGGCTTAGGGTTTAGCGATTTTTAGGGTTTAGGGTTTAGGGTTTAGGAAGTTCAAGGGGCACCCTGTTCATCCCTACAGAATCCTTGACACATACCAGCCCGAAGAAGCTTAGGGTTTAGGGTTTAGGGTTTAGGGTTTAGGGTTTAGGGTTTAGGGTTTAGGGTTTAGGGTTTAGGGTTTAGGGTTTAGGGTTTAGGGTGAAATTCTAAGGCCCCAAGCCTGCAGGACAAAAGCTGATGCTGAGCCTTCAGCTCAACAATGACGAGGCTGCGGCATATGAGAAGACATGGGGAAAACATCGGGGTTTAGGGTGTAGGGTTTAGGGTTTAGGGTTTAGGGTGTAGGGTGTAGGGTTTAGGGTTTAGGGTTTAGGGTTTAGGGTTTAGGGTTTAGGGTTTAGGGTTTAGGGTTTAGGGTTTAGGGTTTAGGGTTTAGGGTTTAGGGCTTCATTTACAAAGCGGTTGGTAAAGGAGGGCTCTCAACCTAAAACTCCCTAAAGGAAATGCTAGGCAATGGGCGCCTAAACTCGATACCCCAAACCCCCTCGACCTGTGGAGCAGGTCCTCAGCCTAAACCTAGAAGTCCCGAAGCCCTAAACCCAAAACCCTAAACCCTAAGTCCTAAACCCTAAACCCTAAACCGAAAAGTCCCGAAACCCCAAACCCCAAACCCTGTCGATGCTGGCAGGCGACCATCCGGCGACTGGAGCAGGTATGTCCGCGAGCCATGGAGGACACCTCTCTCAGGTGAAATCTCCGGTGGTTAGGGTTGTGAATCCTGAAGCCCTAAACCGACCACAAACACAGGGTTTAGGGTTTAGGGTTTAGGGTTTAGGGTTTAGGGTTTAGGGTTTAGGGTTTAGGGTTTAGGGTTTAGGGTTTAGGGTTTAGGGCTTGGGGGTTTAGGGCTTGGGGGGGTGAGGGCTTTAGGGGAAAGAGACTTGAACTTTGAAGGGTTTTAAGGGTTTAGTGGCTTCGGGGGGTAAAGAGCCTTGAAGGGTTTAAGGGTTGATAGGGGCCTCAGAAACTATTGCCAATGGTGTACTTTAGGGGCCCAAAAAAAATTCAGGACAGGGTTTCGGGGGGTCATTGAAGTAGAATGGTACAAATACAAGAATGGGAAAGCTACTGGAAAACTATTCCGACACCTACATTGGCAGCTCAGTTTCAACCCTTAGACTGCCAACCACTGTAGCGCTTGAGATTATCCTTCTGAGCTGTTGCGAAGCAACCCCTGCAGTCTGCAAAGCTTTCTGAAAACCTGCAAATCCTAGAAAAAACACAAAAACTCTCAACAACGCTGGTTATACAATGCCCCCCTTAGAGCTTAAAGTATGTCAGTCTACTCCCCTCCCCTGGGTGTTGAATAAGCAACAACAAAACACAACTCCTTAGGAGACTGTGGGCCACGTAAATGCCCAAACCTTAGGATTTAGGGTTTAGCGTTGAGGGATCAGAGTTTACACTCGAAACAAACAACATGCGCAGGCCCCAGTAAAGTACTCGTGCCGCAATAAAAACTGGCGACAATGGATAGCGTTTATTGACTTGTTTAGACCTTAAACGATTAGGCTCTTGTTAGACTAAAAATCAAGCTACCATAATGAGGATACCATATTGAAAGAACACAACCCTGCCACGGTACCTTAACTTAAGTTCCTTAGCAATAAACCAGTAAACGGTACCTAAACACCCTAAACCCTAAACCCTAGGCCCAAGAAAGCAGCATAATTAGGGCACAGGGCACCTAACCCTCCCTGAGGTATTATAGGGGTCGGAAAAATTACGAATAATACGCCCGTACGGTCCGTGTGTACTTCTACGAAAAAGCCCGAAAAACCCTATTCTAATTATTCTGGTTTCTGAGGCCTCTATAAAGCCTTAAACCCTAAACCCTAAACCCAAGGCAACAGCACAGGACCTAAAGCCTCCCTGAGGTAAGCTTCTCGGCTTCTTCAGGGAGGGGGCTCAAGGGGGGCAGGTACCCAGAAAACCTTCGGGAAGCTGAGGGAGCCTTAGGGAGAAATGGGGGAGTACTAGGGAGCCTTGGGTTACATACGCCCCTTGAAACCCTAAACCCTAAACCCTCAACCCTCAACCCTCCCTATCATAAGCAAAGGGGCCGATGCTGCCCTTTGTCAGCGTGGCGGAGTGCTTGTCCGTCTCGGTGCCATCCTCGGCAGGGTTCTTCAGAAAGCCCGAAACCCCAAACCGGTTTAGGGTTTAGGGTTTAGGGGTTAGGGTTTAGGGTTCCGGATTTTTTTTTGGGCGGCCCTATGCCACTCTCCCGAAGCTCTCCCATCGCTTAAGTCTGTGAGGAAACAGCAAAGGAGTTGGCTTTGAGGAGTTTACTGCACGTTGGCAGCCCCACTAGCTTGCTCCAAAATTTCCGGTCCACAGCTACTCTGTGAAGTTGGAGAAATGCATGGGGGAGTTGTGGGGACTGTGAGGGTGGGGGTGTAGGTGACTGTAAAAGCCAGTGCCAAGCTATTCTCGCGCACTGTGCTGTCCACCTTGCCCTTCTCCTACCTGGCCTTAGGCCATCCCCTACTGTCCCTCCCCTGCATAAAAACGCATGAGTAAAGCAGCAGTTTCGTTCGATCTGTTCATGATGCTGCCTTAGTATGTGCCCGAAAAATTTGAGTTGTCGCTTGTGGATGTGATGTGTGAGGGGTGGTTGAAGGGTGAGGTGTCTGATGTCTTGGTTGGTGTGAGTGTGTTTGTCAGGCTGGAGCACCTCTGTGAAGTAAGTGCTGCCTATTCTGCAGATCTTCCGAAGGCACTGTGAGTGAAAGGCCTCCAATCTGTGAAGATCTGACTGGGTGAGGGCAGCTGACTCCATGCCATATGTCAAGAGTGGGACAAAAACTGCATTGTAGATCCGAAGCTTCCACTTCCTGGAGATATCTGCGTGTCTCCAGAAGCTGTGAAGTGCATTGAAGTTCTTCCGGGCCTTGGCAATGCGCTGAACCACATCTCTGTGAGAAGAGGAGTCGCTGCTCAAGATGACCCCCAAGTATTTGGCATGGTCAACCTGCTGGACGGGAGTGCCATCTGTGAAGTTGACCGCGCCGCTGGAGGCAGGGGATCTCAGCAACATACACTTCTTGACATTCAGCCTGAGGTTGCTGTGAGCAGCTGTGGTTTGAACCGCATGGAGAAGCTGTTCGGTTTTGGCGGCAGTGCCCGACATGAGAGCAGTGTCGTCAGCAAACGCCAAATCGTAGAATGCCTGGTTTTGGCTGTAAAGCCATGGCAGATTTTGCCCGTTCGCTGTGATGGCAACGTCCACGTCGTGCATGATCATGCTGTGCACAATGAGGAACAGGTAAGGGGACAGCGGGCACCCCTGCCTGATACCTGAACTAGCTGTGGCGGTGGAGCTGGTGTGTCCCGCAGCGGACACATTAAACTGTGGGGCCGTGTAAAGGTTGCTAATGAGATTGGTGATAGCTTCTGCCCGCTCCAGCTGTCTCCGCAAGATGTGGATCGGCTGTGAGGTTGATCGGTTGGCGCGAAAACCGAACTGTGTGTCTCGAAGCCTGTGATCCAATCCCCTCTGCAACCGAAGATGGAGAATTTTTGCCAGGAGCTTGTAAGCCGTGTTGAGCAACGAGATGGGCCGGTAGCTGGAGGGATCTGTGAGGGATCCTTTGCCTTTGTAAATTTCCACCACTATTGCAGCCAGCCAGTCGTGCGGGACCTGACCTGTGAGGAGAGCTCTGTTGAGGATCTTCAACAATGCTTGCTGATTCTCAGCAGGAAGCCACTTCCAGGCCTCGGCTGGAAGGCCGTCCGTCGGCAGCGTCCCAAATCGGGGCTGTGGGGCCTGTGTAGTCCTGCTGTGGGGGGGCCCAATGCTCGTCGCGAAGGTAGTCCGCGAACGTTTGCGCCTGCTGGGACTGGCTCGTCATGTGGCCCTTCGCGTTTTTGATGGCAACTGTACGCGGCTTGTAGTCCGAGCGTACGCGTTTGATCCATCGCCATTTGTCGCGTGGGTCCAAGGCGGCTTCTGACTCCAGAAGCCGAGCTTTGAGCCAGCTGGCCTTGTCTTTTCGCGCTTGCTTGCGGATGCTCTTATGCAACTCGGACTCCAGGTCCCAGCGCTGTGAGGAGCGGGCTTCCGCCCTCTGTTGGATCAAAGTCCACGCGGCGTCCGTGATCCAGGGGTGCTTCTGGCGAGGTGGCTCCTCTGGAATGCAACTTTCCAGAGCAGCAGCGGCGGCCTGCCTGAAAGGGGCCCAGAGTTCCGTGGGGGTGTCGATGAGAGGGAGGGGAGGCTGGTGGCGCGTGTCGGGAGTGTCTGTGGTGGCTTGGCTGTGGTTGTGGAGTGCCTCTGTGAGGTGCGCGTTGAAGCAGGCTATCTGCTCTTGTGTGGGGCTTCGCACGCGGCGCGGCTTGGCTGGTTTGCGCTGAGAAGCCTTAGTGCGCACTTTGAAGGTGATCTTCACCAAAAAGTGGTTGCTGTTAAGAGCCGCTTCTGGCGCGGTGATCGTGGATAAGGTTGCGCCATGCTTTGTGAATGAGCGCATGGTCCAGTTGGACCTGGTCGCCATTGGGACGGATGTGTGTGTGTGTGTAGCGATGTTCCGGTGCTTTCTGCATCCAGGTCTGCGGAACGCAGAGGTCGTGCGCATCAATGAGGTCGCGAAGTTGGCTTTGGTTGGTGGGGCCTGCCATAGTGTTCTCCTCCTCATCCTGTTGCTGGGTTTTGTCCCACTGAAAGTGGGGGCCCACTGCTCCTGTGATATCCTGTAGCTCTTCAAGAAGCTGTGAGTTGAGGTCTCCCACGATGAGAAGAGGAGAACGCTCTTTGTGGGAGTGTATGTGGTTGTGGAGCTGATCCCAGTACTGGTCTCTCTGCTCCTGCTCCTTCTGATTGTGGGGAGCATATGTGATCAGTGTAGTGAATGGGGCCTCGGCTGTGTCGATGGTGAAGGTGAGAAATCTGCCATCGTGCAGTGTGAGGTCCGTGATGGTGGAGGTGAAATGTGGTGCAGTGATCAGGGAGACCCCCGTGTAGGTCTGCTGGGGCTTGCCAGCATCATCGTACTGCTCAGTGGCACTGTGTGAAAAGGTGTAGCCCTCGATCATGTATTGATCCGGTTGCTTGAGGTGGGTCTCAGTGAGGGCCAGCCAGTCGAGCTTGTGTTGCTTCATGAGCTGGACGAGTGTGTGGGCTTTGCCTGCCTCCAGCATGCCTGTGGTGTTCCAAAAACCTCCTCTCGCGAGCCTGTGAGGGGGGAGCTGTATGTCGTGCTTGTTCCTGCTCTTCTGATTGGGTTTGGAGATATGTGTTTTGAACCAATGGGCTCGAGTGTGGGTTCTGGTTCGGGTGTCATGCCGTTCCTGCCATGCTTGCCTGTTTGGTGGGCGGTGAGGTGTCAGTGCGAAGGTGGTTGGGTGTGGATGGGTTCTGAGGGACTCTGTGTTTGAGTCGTGCGAAAGCTTGGAGCCGCCTTCGAAATCTGTGTGTTCTGAATCTGGGGAGACAGTGTCTGTGAGGGGCTCGCCTGCCATCACTTCAGGACCTCACCGAGAGGGCTGGCCGAGACCGTCCCGCAGTAATGTGAAACCCAATGCTCCCAGTCCTGGTCTGACCACTTGCTGATGTCTCCCCCCTTGCTGATGAACTGGATCTTCTCCTCGTCGATGGCCTTCTCCAGCTCAGCCTGTGAGTCGAAGGGGCGGTAGGACTCAGTGGGGAGTGGGGGGCTCGGACTGCATGTCGGAGAATTCCGAAGGAGCTGGCCTCTTGAGTCCCTGTGAGACAAACTGTGGGAGGGTCTGTCCTGGATCCACTGCGATGTCCGCCGCATTTGCTGCAGCCATCTGTTCCATGAGCTCCTCGACGGGCCTCATGTACTGGAAATGAAGTCGGTCTTCATGATCCGCGGAGATGCCTGTGAAGGTGAGAGGCCAGGGGAACTCGTACTTGAAGCGAGCCACCCAATGCTGGACATTGTCCTCCTCGCCCTCGTTGTACTCCGGAATGGACTTTGTGAGGAAGCGGTTCAGGCGAACAGCTGCCATGTAGTCCTGTGAGGTCTTCTCGGCTGCTGTGCGAAAGGCCTCTTTCTCCACCTCGGTCTGTGCGATCTGCTGCTTTAGCTGATCGTACCAAACATTCTTCCATGCTGTGAGGATGGTCTCCATGTGCTCTTGGGGGAGCTGAATTTCGCATGTCCAGTCACCCATGGAGCCAGCGTTCATCGTGAGGGATGTCTGGGTTCACAGCGTTTGCCAGTCGGGCTGCTTCTGTCGCCAGCCGGGTTGCTAGAGCCACAGAGGGGCCTAGGGCTGTGCCTGCCCCATTGCGCCCCACTGCCGCCGTCAAATCCTGGAGGAGGACTGAGAGCTGCTGCTCCGTGGGGATTGCCCCCAACACGAATGGCCGCCTCAGGAGTTGACGGGTCACGTCACTCTCTAGCAAATCCCTCGATGGCAGGGCTGACCTGCGTAGCGTCAGAGTAGGGCCCTTCACTGGCCCAGGAGTGACGCCAGTCACGGCTTGCTTGTCAGCCCGTAGTGCCGTCAGGACGGCATTGACTGCAGGGTTTCTTCTTGGTGCCTCCCAGGAAGGAGAGTGAGGAGGAGTTCCATGAGCTCTTCCCCGGATAGCCCATCCTTCTGCCTGGATGCTGATGGGACGTCTCCAGTCGTAGGCCCTGACTCCTTCCCTCCTGCTTCCTTGGGAGGCTTGTCTTCGGACTTGTCATGCGCCGCTTCAGCGGCAGCGGCTCTCGCCTCGGCCTGCTCCTCCTCTGTGAGGATGCCCAAGGCCATCGGCTGACCCCCGCGTTCGTTGTCTTCCTGGTCCTCCATTGCTCAGGATGACACTACCAGCAGGGGACCGAAGGTCCACTTCCCACACAAAGTGGGCAGCCGGGCGCCTAGTACCCCGGCTCTTTCCCCCGTCGCGAGGCCCAAGGAGTTCTCCAGTAGCCAACTGGAGTTCTCCCCGGACAACAGAGCTCGCGGGGTTCCGGATTTAGGGTCCTGAACGCTCAAAACACCGTACACTCGTTGGTTATCGGTCAGATGTCGGCTTCGGAAGATTTGGGGCGTTAAGTTAAGGCTTTGCCACCCTAAAGACCAAAGCCTAAACCCGGCACATCCCTAAACCGCAAACCCGAAACCCGAAACCCTAAACCCCAAACCCCAAACCCTAAACCCTAAACACAAGTCTTTGGCCTTAGGGTGTCTCAGGGGTTGCTACTCGGAAGCCTGAGTTAAGTTGCAATCGTGCATATGCATATATATATATATATATAAATACACATACATACATATATACATACATACATACATACATACATACATACCTACATACATACATCCGTGCGTACATACATACATACATACATACATACATACATACATACATACATACATACATACATACATACATACATACATACATACATACATACATACACACATATGCATACATATGTATATATATGTGTATATGTATATATATATATATACATATGTATATATACATGTATATATGTATATGTATATATATATATATGTACTTTCCTATGGCCGCAGCCTTTCAGGTCCCAGATTCTAGTCGACCCGATCCCTTCACCCTAATCACCCCAAAACCCCAGACCCTAAACCCTAAACCCTAGACCCTGTCCCTAAACCCTAGACCCTGAACCCTAAACCCTAAACCTTAAAACCCATACACCCCTTAAAGCCCTCTGCGCCAAGCTACGGGCAGCCACGGACCATGCTCCCCGCCAGCCTCGACACCGACAATGCGCACCTTTGGAGGGGCTGAGGGCTTAGGGCTCTGTAAGGTCTGTAGGGTTTAGGGTTTAGCGTTTAGGGTTTAGGGTTTAGGGTTTGGGGTTAGGGTTTAGGGTTTAGGGTTTAGGGTTTAGGGTTCAGGGTTTAGGGTTAGGGATAGGGTTTAGGGCTTGAGGTCTGTAGGGTTTAGGGTTTAGGGCTTAGGGCCTGTAGGGTTGAGAGTTTGCTTAGGGTTTGTAGGGTTTAGGGTTTAGAGTTTATGGTTTAGTATGGGCATGAGTTCTTGTTGGGGACTTCGGGCTTGACGGGCTAAAGTTTTAGGATTTCGGCGATTTCCCAAATTCGCCACACAGGGCCAGGAGTCACGTAAATCCTGAACACCTCGAAGGTCCATTGTCTACCAAAACCTCAGAAACCTTACAGCACCTGGATACTCTACATAGAAGAAAGAAAGGAAGGATTCTTAGGTGTTTTGCTCGGTTCGTTTGAAAGTATGGCACCCTAAACCCTACACCCTAAACTCTGAACCCTAAACCCCCAACGATTTGACACCGGAGTAAGGAGCTTTACTCGTGAAATGCTTGGACTTGAGAATGCTGAACTCTAGACCCTAAACCCCAAACGAATTCTTAGGTTTAGGGTTTAGGGTTTAGGGTTTAGGGTTTAGGGTCTAGGGTTGAGGGTAGGTGCTTCGTGGGCCTTCTGATCCTCCAGGAAGGCTGTGAACATGCCGATGGCGTTGGAGCCACCCCCGACGCAGGCCACGACCACGTCCTAAGTACCGAAAGCTTCACACATGTAGGGTGTGGGGTTTAGGGTTTCGGGTTTAGGGTTCAGGGTTTGGGGTTTAGGGTTTAGGGTTTGGGGTTTTAGGCAAATACTCCCAAATAAGGTCCTACTAGAGACAATACAAGGGCAAAGTATGAAATCTCCCAAGGGCCTACCTAGTTACAGAAACATGCCTAGAGCTGCCATAAATTTGATCAAGTTTTTACTAGACCCAGGAGTAACCTAGGAATAAAAGGGGCACCCTTTTTGGTTTAAAGACGCTTATGAGGGAACCTAAGCCCTAAACAAAACGAATAAGGGCCGACTATGGGTGCTAGTTTAAGTCCCCTTTTTGAAGGGGCCTTTTTTCTGCTCTGAGCAACTAGGGCTTGTAGGCTTGCAGGGAGTCATGCCAACAAACTGGACAGGAGAAACTTGTGCGGAATTGTCCAAGGCCAACAAGAACAACCCACGAACTCCACAGCCGTAACCTAAGCCGCTAAAGCAAGTGCCAGCTTGACCGACCTTTTTTGTGGTTTAGGGCTTGAGGGTTTAGGATTTAGGGTCTAGGGTTTAGGGTTTAGGGTAAAGTGTTGGGCTTCAATTTGCAGCCGTGCTGTTGGCCATCAAGAGCCCATGGAACACTCACCCCAAAGCGGACGATGCACTAAACATTCTTTACAAGTTCGGATGTCCCCCCCCCCCCCCCCCCTATACTAACAGCCCTTGTTAGGGATGAGAGTACCCCCCCGATTACAATCCGTATTGCGGATTGTTAGTCTATACTAACAGCCCTTGTTAGGGATGAGAGTACCCCCCCGATTACAATCCGTATTGCGGATTGTTAGTCTAAAGGGGTAACATCCCAAACTGCAAGCATCAATAATTGCATAGTTATGGACAAGCCCTGAGAATCAGCGTCCTAAGAGCCTTTGGGACATTCAAAAGCAAACCCCCCCCCCCCCCCACCCAAAACCCAAAACCCAAAACCCAAAACCCTAAACCCTTGTTGCGGCCACACGTCTGGCAGGCGACCCGGGCCATTTGTAAAGGTGGGGTGGCCAAACTCGCCAGAGGTCTGATTGAGCATCCTCAACTTCGGAAAGCTTCGCAAGCCCTGAACGACCAAGTTTAGGGTTTAGGGTTTAGGGTTTAGGGTGCAGGGTTTAGGGTTTAGGGTTTAGGGCTCCCTAGCACCAACCACAAAGCTCCGGGTAGTTCAGCGCCCCTGAAAGAGCCCCCAAATGTCTTTTGCACATCAGCATATCTAGGGCCATCTAGGGAAGGTAAGAATCTTAAGGGGTTCTTGGGTTGCACTTTGAATCAGAAGCTCTCGCGCAAGAGCCAAAAGCGTTTTGTCACGACAAGGGACTTCGGACTTGCTTTTGTTTTTAGAGACTGCCCCCGAACAAGCACAACGCCAGCAAAGGATGTGACAAGCACGCCGCCAACAAAGGATCCTCAGTCAGAGAAATTCCCTAAACCCTAAGCCCTAGAAGCTCTAATACTAATCGCTCACTGCCGTTTGAGTTCAGCCAGAGGTGCAGCAGCCGAGCTCTGCTTCTGTGGTGCTGTTGGAAAGTGCCGATTTTTGCGGCGTGGGCCATCGATACATAGAGAAATAGGTCGTGATTTCAGGCTTGCCGGACTGAGGGAAAAGGGGGGAGAAAGAAGCATCCCGTCCTGGACCCAGCCCTTTAAAGAAAGGTGCTACTGGGCCCTAGATTTGAAGCTCTCTACAAGGAATGAGGTCTTTGGTGTTTGGGGGGCGCAAGTGGGCATCCTTAACCTGCTCGCACTGCGGTTGCATTGCTGTGCTGTGGTTTAGGGTTTAGGGTTTAGGGTTTAGGGTTTAGAGTTTAGGGTTTAGGGTTTAGGGTTTAGGGTTTAGGGTTTAGGGTTTAGGGGTCTACCTGCATCCCCCCCACCCCAGTGCCCTTAACAAGTGGCCTAAGTGTGCCTACAAGTTGGGGAAGGGGGTTACATAGGGCATTTTAAACGGGTGCTTTGAAGGGGTCTAGGCGTATCTAGTGAGACCCAAGAGTAACCTAGGAATAAAAAGGGCGGCCTTTTGGGTCTTAAAGGGGTTTATAAGGGAACCTAAACCCTAAAGAAAGGGAATAAAGGCCCACTCTGGGTCCTAGTAGCCCTAAACCCTGAACCCTTAACCCCAAAACCCTAAACCCTTAAGGATCACTGTCAGTGCCTCTCGGGCTTGGGGGACAAGGCGTTAGGCTTCGGGGTCGACGGATTCGGTGGTCCAGGGTCTAGTGTGTATTCGGCGGTGCTTGAGGTTTAGGGTTTAGGGTTTAGGGTTTAGGGTTTAGGGTTTAGGGTTTAGGGTTTAGGGTTTTGGGGGAGGAGTTTTGGGTTGAGGGCTTCTTGGGTTGGACCTTTGGGAGCTTCATAGTGCACGGGCGCTTTGGGGCTTGGCAGTATATACGCTAAGGGGTAGAAGGAGGGACCCCTACAAGGGACCCTTAATCTTACTCCACTGTATAACCCATGTATATAATATATATATATATATATATACCTTATGTAATCCCGAAAAACCTAAGTAGCCTCTGAAGAACCTCCAAATAACCCCTAAGGTCCCTTAAAAAGGGGGCGCCCAAGAGCCTTGACTAGGGTGTAACCCTAAACCCTGAACCCTGGACCCTAAGCCCGAAACCCTAAACCCCAAGCTCTAGGTTTCAGGTTGTTGGGCCACTTTGAGCCTAACGGGAAAAGCCCTAAAACGGTGGTAAGGCCCGGTCACACTGCATTTGCAGGCCGCTCTCTGCTCCCAAGGTGTCCCAATACGAGTGGGTTTAGGGTTTAGTTTAGGGTTTAGGGTTAATTTAAGGTTTATAGGGTTAGGGTTTAGGGTTTAGCGTTTAGGGTTTAGGGTTTGAGGTATAGGGCTTAGGGTTTAGGTTTCTAGGATCGTTTAGGATTTCGGGTTGTGAACCTGAGCCCATCTGAACACTAAGTCCTAAGCCGAGTGAGGCAGCCGGGCCACTGCGCGCGGGCTTCGTTGCCGATCACGGCCTGCAGGTCCCGGACGATGTCCTTGGAGTGTGGCCCTAAACCCTAAACCCTGAACCCTGAACCAACACTGTGAGGGTATGGAGTTTAGCGGTTTGGGTTCCACCGAAGAAGTCTAGGCATTTGAGCCTATAAGGGAACAGGGTTGGAAGCCGAAACCCATGCTGGTTTAGGGTTTAGGGCTTAACCCTTCTACCCTGTATCTCTCTACGCCTTTCAAATCCTAGAGACCGAATACCTCCTTAGAGCCAAGAGTTGTGTTTATTAACCATGAGTTTCGGACGATAGACTAACACGTGGATCTCGCATAGAACGCGGGACGCTCGAAAGTACGTGTAAGGACCCCCCCCCCCCCCCCCCCCCCCGACCCCACCCCACCAAAAAAACAAAAGAAACAAAAACACGAAAAGGACCCTGATTAAGAGAACTGCCCGACTGGTGCCCAGGAAAATCTAAACCCTACCAACAGCCCACTTTATCACCAAACTCCCTAAACAACGAAAGCCCTCAAAATCCTAAACCCTGAACCCAAAGCCCCAAACCTACCATTCGCTTATATATAAGGGCAATCTAGGGATGATTATTTGTAAATTTTTGGGAGCTTCTGAAGAAAATAGTAGAAACCCTAAGCCCAAAACCCTAAAACCCCCAAACCCTCAACCCTAAGCCCTAAACCCCAGATCCGAAAACCTAAACCCTCGACCCGAAACCCTAAGCCCTAAACCCTAAACACTAGAAAACCCGAAACCCAAACCCTAAACTGCTATCGCTGGGACAGATGAACTGCTCCCGGGGATCGGGGAAAGGGTGCGGTCCCACAGCGGAGCCGATGATGTAGTGCCTCAAGGGGGCGTGTTTGTATTCTGTCAGCTGAACCCTAAACCCTAACCCCAAACCTGAAAGCCTAAACCCTAAACCCTTGGAGTTTTGGGCTTCTCAGGGTTTTGCGCCTCAGGTTTTGTCCCTATCTATAGATCGGACAGTAGGCGCACAGGGTTTAGGGTTTAGGGTTTAGGGTTTAGTTTTTAGGGGTGTTCAGGGTTTTTGGGGTGACACTTGTTGAACTTCCTGAACCCTAAACCCCAAACCTAAAACCCTGAACCCTAAACCCGAAAACTGACTGGCTCCGGGACTCGGGCCCATCGGGCTTAGGACTCGGGGCTTAGGGCTTGGAACTTAGGGATTGGGAGTTCTGGTTTAGGTATCCGAAACTTAGTTGTCCAGTACCTAGGGGTTTTAAAGGTTAACCTTTGGGATTGTAAGGGGAATATATTAACCCAAAAAGGTTAAAGGTTACCTACTCTACTACTAAGGAAATTAGGGGTACCTTCTTGGGGTCCTTTTTTCGAAGAATACGGGGGGTGATTTGGACCTTCGGGGTTTAGGAGGGACAAGAGGGCACCATGAACTATGTGTTCCCCATAAACCCTATAAACCCTTATGAACTTACTATAAACCCTGCAAACACTAAGCCCTATAGGCAACCCAAAGTAGATAGACTTTTCGAAAATCAGAAATCCAATAGAACCCCCCCTTTCCAAAAGGCCAGATAGAATATCAAAAACCCCAAGGCGATGGATAGAATATTGGCCTAAAGTTTAGGGGCGCCGAGGCGCCCCAGGGGTCGGGGTCAACTCTATTCTATCTACTTCAGGGCCCCCAAAAAAGCACATAAGCAAAAATTAGGGTAGGGACATCCCATATAAATCCCTTTATACTGAAGCCCAAAAAAGGTAGGGATGTCCCTATAAAAGAAGAGGCGAGGGCCAAGAAACCAAGACGCCAAGAGGTGTGCAGGAGGCCACCAAGCGGGCGAATTTTCGGGGTCCCGAACATACTCTATGCACGGGTTTTCAAACATTGTATCTACGGGTTTCAAGATTCTTTCTATGGGTTCCTCAAGAAACATGGGAAAACGCCCAAATTCCAAACCCACCAAAAAAAACGAAACCCAAATTCCATCTATTCAAGGATGACTATAAACCCTAAACCCTTAACCCTAAACTCTTAACCCTAAACCCTAAACCCTAAACCTCTGTGATGCCGAGGGGCGTGGTCCGGATATTGGTCACCCAGTCGCGCAAGGCCTGCCGTCCGGTCTCCAAAGCCCTGACCCAGGCCCACCCGACCACTTTTTGGGTTCTAACCCCAAACCCTAAACCCTAAACCCTAAACCCTAAACCCTAAACCCTAAACCCTAAACCCCAAACCCCTACATCCTAAACCCGAGAAGCCTAAGCCCCCACACCCATGAACCCCCATCCTCTCAAGCCCTCACAGGCCCCCCCAGACTTGACAACCTCACGCCCACGGACTCCTAACAGCTTCGGGTTCTTGGGCTTTCGGGGTGTTTAGGGTTTAGGGTTTGGGGTTTAGGGTTTAGGGTTTAGGGTTTAGGGTTTGGGGTTTGGGGTTTGGGGTTTAGGGTTTAGTGTTATCTCTACAGAACCCCTGAACCCTGCACCCTTAACCATTAAAACAAGGTTTTTGGGATTTTTGTAAGTCCTTGCAGGGAGCGGACTCCTTATACTTTGCAGGGTTTAGGGTTTAGGCTTGAGGGAAGAATTATCAGGGTCCTGTTTCCGGTCGTCTTGCCCGGCGCTCAAGAGTAAGCATGGCGAATTGTGATGGATTCTTTCCGGTTTGTACCGCTCAGTTTGTACATCCCCGGGTCTGTAGTTCGTGCAGTACGGTGACACCGAAGAAGCCTACAGGGTTTAGGGTGTAGGGTTTAGGGTTTAGGGTTCCGGTTAGGGTTTAGGGTTTAGGGTTTAGGAACCACCTCGTTCACGGCATCCTTGAGCGTGCGACTGCCGCTCTTCACTGGCACCACGGTGGCTCCCAGCTCTCTCATGCCTGGCGAGCTCCTAACCCTAAACCCTCGACCCTAAACCCTAAACCCTAAATAATATTTGCCTACAATTTAGTAGTAAGTACCCCCTATTTGGTAGGTAGAACCTTTTAACATGCAGGCAAATAGGGTCCCAAGTGAAGCCTGCAGCCCCCACAAGCCGTACGCTCCCGTGGGTTGTTGCCATAACACGCCTTCTTGCTTTCTTAGGCTCACTTAAGGCAACCTAATCGCCAAAAAAAAAGAATTTCGGGCTCTTTCGGTAGATAGGAATCATCACTGTTCAGGATTTAGGATTTTGCGCGTTAGGGTGCCGTTCCCGGCCCTGCCCCCGCCAACCCCCCCCCCCCCCCCCCCCCCCCCCCCCCCCCCCCCCCCCCCCCCCCCCCCCCCCCCCCCCCCCCCCCCCCGCGCGCTGCAACCCCAAGCACGGCAGATTAGTAGCTTATCTATCCCGGGATCGTAGGTAGTCAGACCCCAGTAGGGTTCATTGTGGTCCCGAAGCCTCAACTCCTAGACGATAGTTTCCCCCCCTCGCATGCAGACATGCAGGCAAAAGGCGGAAGCAGTTCAGCTTTTGTCGCTCGGTGTCGATCTCGCCCATGTAGACGATCTGCCACACAGCGCCAAAAGAGTATACACTCGAAACCCTCATCAAAACCCTCGAAACCCTGCCCTTTTGTGGAGAGAGCGCGCCGGGCACCTTCTTCTCTTCACACAGAGAGGTGTCCCCTTAAGAATGCACACGCTCGGTGAACAAGTCCCCAAGCTGCCACCCCATGTCCATGTACTCTGTAACATACACGCGAAAACTGGACTGAAGAATCGCTGCCTGGGCAAGGTGGATGAAGCATGATACAACACGATCCCCTACCAAAGGCAGAAAAGTGCAAATCCTTCCAACGGGCCGTCAAAAAAGCCAGCCGCACCCGGGAGTCTATGACACTTACGGGGTTTAGGGTTTAGGATTTAGGGTTTAGGCTTCAGGGCTACAAACTTAAGAACTAATAAGTCGTTAATACTAAATGCACCGTCGGGAAGTCATATTACCGGCTCAGCCTGGACACTGTGGCCAAGAGCCCACCCCTTCATTTCACGGGATATTCTTCAGAATGCCCAAGATATGCTGATGTGCTTTAAGCTTCCTGACCCCAAGTCAAAAAACTCTAGTTGCACCCCGAGCCTGTCAAACCTGAACCCTGAACTCGAAACCCGAAACCTTGAACCCAAAACTCCTCAACCTGAACCCTAAACCCTAAACCCTAAACCCTAAACCCTAAACCCTAAACCCTAAACCCTAAACCCTAAACCCTAAACCTTTGGGAGAGTTGGGGGCCCAAGAGCCCAATGAGCCAAGCCACGCACTCCAGGTCCAGCAGCGCGCACGCGGCCGCTGTGGCCACACCATGCTGCCCCGCACCGGTTTCGGCCTGCAGCCACCACAGGTTTAGGGTTTAGGGTTTAGGGTTTAAGGTTTAGGGTTTAGGGTTTAGGGTTTAGGGCTTAGGGTTTAGGGCTTAGGGCTTAGGGTTTAGTAATTTAGGGTTTAGGGTTTAGGGCTTAGGGTTTAGGGTTTAGGGTTTAGAAGGACTCCCTCGAAGGGTCCGTGTACCCGCCTGTGGTGGTGGGGGTCGGGGGGGAGGTTTATGGTTGGCGGTGAAAGCTTCAAGCTTTGGGTTTTCTGGGGTTTAGCTGTTTTGGGCTTTAAACTTGAAGGTTTAGGTAGGGTTTTCAAGGGTTTTCCAGGGTCCAAGGGGTGTCAAGAACACTTCAGGCGTTTGGGCAGAGGGGGAGCACGTGGGTGAGGAAAGCGAGGAGGCAAAGATGTGGGGGGTGAGGGGAGCGGGGAGGGTGGGGAAGGTGAGGGGGGTGGGGGGGGCGGGGAGGGTTTGGGAGCCCATAGAATACTTCAGGCAGAGGGGGCAAAGATCTAACGCAACATGAAGGAATGGGGGGGGGGGGGGG